TTTTTTTGGTATATTATGATGTTCAAACAACTTAAAAAAACCTGTCTGAGTCTGAAAGGGTAGAGGATGAAGACAAGTTGATTAATGGGTACAGATATACAATTTGATAGAAGAATTAAGACCTAGTGTTAGATAGATTAGCAGCGTGACTATAGTTTGCCATAATCGACTGTGCATCTCAAAATAACTGGAGGAGAAGAATTCAAATGGTTCTAGCATAAAGAAAAGACAAATTTTTAAAGTGTTGATAGACATCTCAAGTAAACGAATTGGATCTTTACAAATTATATGACTGTATTAAATTATTATATGTACTCTGAAACTATATACATCTATTATGCATCAATTAAAAAACAAACAAACAAAAAAACACCTTTCTGGATGGGGATACACTGCCTCTCCCAGGGCTAGCCAATTTTTACAGAAAACAAAAGCTCAGCCAGCCAGGAGTATGCCTTTGATATTCAAATAAACTAGTCCAGAGTCATACCTCCTCTGCCTGGCTTGTACACCCAGTAGACAATATTCTTTTGCCTGAATCATTCTAGGACTAAGTACTAGCAACTAGAACCTGCAAAAATTATTCAGACTAGTTGATTATAAAGTGTGCATCCTTTCCTACATATATACCAATAAAGGCTCCAGCCTAAACCATTCTCTGGTTCCTGCCTTCTGCCTCCTTTCCACTCTGGCATTTTTCCACATGGCCCTGGGTGTTAGGCTGTGCCTCCTCTCTCTATAAATATAATACATTTTGTTTTCCTGAGCCTTTCTCTTCTGAGTCCTCCTGTGGCTCATAAAACAGTACATAACAGGCTCTTAGCAATTTTAAGGGCAAAGTCCTAGAGCACCTTGAGTCATATTCCAATGTGGAGAAATATCTGTCTACAAGTTATTTGTGGGAGTGGCTTCTTGCTAATAGAGTGGACTATATTTGGATACATAGAACATCAACAAGGTTTTTAAGGGATTATACCACTTTGGACTAAAAAGGAACAGAGATAGTTTAAAATGGAAAGAGGCCTCCGGCATCTCAAATTACTGGCAGAAAGCAGAAGGAAAAAAAAAAATCCGAATCAAACACAAGCTCTTTCTTATGGAAAAGGAACAACACAGACAGTGGTCATTCTGAGAATAACAGATTAGGAAACCATTCCCACGGTTCAGAATTGTATCCTAGTCTAGAAACTTTCCTGTTCCCAGAGTTTGAAAAATTGGTGACTTAAGACAAGCTGGATTCAGAATTACTACAGACTAATTAATGACTAATGTGTGCTTTCCATTTCCCTCCTTTTCAACAGAAGTGTCTACAGTTATCCCTATCTCACCATTCTGTATTTGGAGTGTGTGTTGGGAAGTGTATATGTGAGGGAGCTTCCCCAAAACTAGAATTATCTTTTGGCGGACCCCTTGTAGTACAGCAAGCATGTCCAACACACAGCCTGCGGACAGCTAGTATTGTGGCCCCACGAAATCTTTACCTTCATGTATTTTTTTAGCACTTATGTTCTTCATGACCTCATATGTAGTTCCATTTTTGAAGTTCCAAAGTGATACAGTGCTTGAAACTTAAATTATGACAAGCTCAAATTATAGAAAATAATTTAACACATTTTGTTACGTTGGCTAAATGCAGTCCTGTGAACTGCCAAAAATATGCAGCTTTGCTTTATGTCTTAACACAGGAATCTGAAAACAGATTTCAAGATTTCCAGTAAAATAATCACTGTTTTGCTATATTTGCTATACTATTTTTCAATCGATTAATATTTTACCTCTAGATTTTCAAATGGAATGCATAGAGTGGCAATCAGACATTCAACTGAAAGAAAACTTTGACCATGTCTCTTTATTGGACTTTTATAAGACCTATCTTCCTAGAGAAAAATATCCCTTGCTTCACAATCACACCTTTTTCATGACATCGCTTTTTGGCAGCACATACACTGTGAGCAGCTGTTTTCAGTTATGAAGCACACAAAGAGCAAAATTCAAACAAACATTTCAGAAGAGCACCTTAAGAACTCACTAAGAATTGTTTCTACTTCCATTGAACCAGATATTGATAGATTAGTTTTACAAAAGCAAGGTCAAATTTTTTGCTAGCTTTGAATTGTTTTCATTTTTCTAAGCTTTACAGTAAAAACATTACAAATTTTAAAAAAAGTCTTATTATATATATACCTATAATATGCACACACTAACTATATTATATAATTTATGGGCAGCCCAAGACAATCTCTCCTTACTTTATGCAGCTCAGGGAAATCAAAAGGTTGGATACCCCCGTAGTACAGGCTTCCCCCACTGGGTCAATGTCCTGGGAACCCATAGGCATCAGTGTACCAGGTAGCATTGTTGGGCATCACGATTTGCAGAAACACCCTGAGCTGTGGCAAACAGATGACTGTTTCTTCCACCATGACAAAGCACCTGCCCACACTTCACTGAGTGTTCTGCACTTTTTAACCCCAAATTGCACAACCTCCATGCCCCACCCTCCCTATTCACCAATCTGCCAGAGTGACTTTTTTTGTTGTTGTTCCCCAGATGAAAAAATCCTCAATCCCTTGCTGATGTGGAAGTGGTGAACCAAAAAAACAGTAGCAGCACTAAAGGCACAAAAATGAATGAGTTCAAACATTGTTTTGAGAAGTGGAAAAAGTATCTTAATAGGTGGTATTGATCAAATGTGGAGTACTTTAAAGGTGACTGAAGTTTAAACATGTAAGAATAAATACACAAATTTTTATAAATAAATTCCATTGGGGAGGGGTCTCCCCTCATAACTAATCTTTTTAGTTCACATGTTTCCAAATCAAGGGACGCTCACCTGGGTAGCCTCACCCAGAGCCAGAGCTGGTGCAAATAAAGAGATTCTGGATTTTGAGTTGAAGGAGTGAAGGTCGTGCCATCTCAAAATATGTCAGACTGGTATATTGATTATTTCTAATTGAAAACACTGGAGAAATCGTAGTTTCAGAAAGGGCAAGCTGGCCTGTCTCTTCCTGCATGCATCAAGCCATAAAGATTCCTTTGGGAGGGGTACCCTCACAGCGTGAGGGAATAGCCCTTATCACCAGAGACTGGGAATTGGGGTCTTTGATGGATCTGAATAAGTATACTTAATATACTTAGTTAAGTAATCCTTGTTTTCCACTAGTTTTAAGCCCCCCATATACCTCCTAGTGACTTTCCTAGAAATTTACCATCCCTAGCCAGATCCCCTTTGTTCTGTCATTTCTTCTAAAATGTATTGTTGTTTGTCTAAAAGTTATAAAAGTATCTTAGTTTGGGAACTTCCTGGGACTTCATTTTCCTGTGAAGATACCCATGTACATGTAAAACTAATAAAATTTGTATGCTTTTCTCTTGTTAATCTGCCTAGAGATAGTTTGGTTTCGAAATCCAGCCAAAGAGCTCACATAAGAACTAAAGGGGAATTGGAGGTAATCTCTGACTTCCCTACAGAATCTTTGATGTAGTGGAATTCAAAGGATTTAGTTTTAAGGGATGAGGTGAGTATTTTGAATGTAGAAGAGACATGGATTGCTATAGCCAGAGAGTGGACTGTGGCATATCATTTCCAAAGAAGGTTGTCAACAAACCTTCTCATTCCTTTACAGGAATGCTACTCCCCTCATTGAGGGCTTGTGACTTACTTCAACCAATGGAATACATTGAAAGCAATACTTTGGGATTCCAAAGCCCAGGTCTTAACAGGCCTCATAGCTTGTGTGTTTGCCTTCTTAGGATCCAACCACCATGTAAAGAGCTCAGGATTGTTTACTGAATGATGAGAAAACATGCAAAAGGAGAGATCCAGCTACCCTTAGACATTCCAAGACACCAGTTGAGATGCCAGATATGTGAGAACAACCATCTAGGATCCTCCAGCCCCAGGCAAGACACCCCACCCAACACTATGAGAATCAGAGATGAGTCCTCTCTGCCAAACCCTGCCCACACTCATGAATAAATATGTGCTATTTCTTAAACTACTAAAGTTTAGGATGTTGCATTATGCAGCAGTAAATCCTGAAACATCTGCTTAAACAGTAAAGATGGAAAAGTACACAACACAATTAATAAATTCATTCTTTAGTATGGGATTTGTGGGGTTTTTTTTTACTTGTTTTTGTCTATTTTCCAGTAAATATTGATTTAATTGAATTGATTCAATTACAAATTGAATAGATTCAATAGATTTCAAAGTATGTACCAATGATATAATAATTATGAACTTAATGCCAACACATTGTGTATACCAAGAGACAAAACTGATTTTACCCTTGACCCATATAGGACATTTAAGATTAGGCCTACAGTCATATACTTGGATAAGATAACTCAATGTAAACTATCATTGTTGCACCAATATAAGTAAAAGCACACTAAAGATGACCAGGATCTTTTTTTACATTCATAACATTTCATTCAGAAATCATTTAGTCAGCTTTCTAAAGGTTGTTCTCTGTAATAAGTACATTTCTTTTTCCCATTCACCCAAATATGACAGAGTGAAGAACAAACAACTATCCTGGGAAGTTTGACTCTATTATTTAAAAAAAAATTGACTCTAGGTCCTACAGGTGAATTATAACACAAACTAACCAAATAAATGTCTTGGCAAGCAGTTACAGAATTAGAACTGTAAACATACAGGTTGTGCAAAGCAGAATTCTGGGCCATGTCCTTGACAGAGCTTATCATGTGAATGCTGCCCTCCTGAAGTCATGCAGCACAGTTACACTGTAAAAGACCCTATTGTAGGCAAAGATGAAACATGATTTTGACCTTGAAAACCTGGCATTCTAGTAGGAGCTGAGCGACATATGATTAACAACGGCACATATACATAAATGTAATGATGTACATGTATGCTGGGTGAGGGTAGCCTAAAAAAATGTGCTTGAGCTCAAGGAGTGGAGGACAAGAATACTAAGAAGTGTAAAATGCACATAAGTAAAATAATCACACACATAGAGGATGCAGCTTACCTGACATGCTGATGGATGGGTGTGGTTGAGATCCCAATGGGAAGACACTATGTCAACAGACTTTTTGGCCATGTTGAGTAAATTCATCCAGCCTTGGAAAAGTGATAAGTGAAATGGTGCATTTTCTGAATAGTTAAGGCCTTCAGGAATATTTTCCACCAGGGCAATTCTTAGAAAAGATTTTGAAAAACAAACAAACAAAATCTAGTCAAATTTGAAGCCACAGATCTGTATACATGCAAACAGAGATAACTAAAAAATATCTTTCTGAATGCATACTTTCCTCATAATTTACATTTTTTCACCAAAAATTTCTTACATTTCCCTTGTGCTAATCTACTGTGTTCTGAGAGTTTATGCTCTGTTTTTGTACACTTAGCACTCATATTTCAGAAAATCATGGTATATGTCACTAATGTTCAGTTTTAAACTAGCCTGGGGGAAAAAAAATCAGAGATTCTCACACAAGCATCTTCTTCTAGTAATATATTCCTTTATTTTTTCCCCTGCAGCAATGCATTCTTATATAAGATACTACTCTGCAAGCTACCTGAAACCATAAATTAAGTTTTGCATATCCTCAGTTTCTAGTACAATGCTGGGCATATATTAGAACTCAAAAAAAAGTGGTTATTATTGCTGAATATCTCTACTGATGCTTCCCAGTCTAGAAGAAAGTTATAAAAGAAAAGAAAATCATAAAACCTGACTGTTGCAAGGCTTTAAAGTCAGAGATTTTAAAATGTATAAATGATAGTAATAATCAAGCACTAAATAAGCTGCAATCAGCAATATTCTCATAAGTTTGTTTTCTCTTTTTATACTTTTTAATATACTGACAACATATCCATTGTGATTGGCTCTCCTTGGTATTGTGGCTAAGTCTGTGTTTTTCGTTTTTTGTATTTTCTTTGTTGTTTTGCTGTTTTACTTCTGAGTGAGGTGCCACATAACTTCCTAATAAAGGAGCAATTTTTTCCAGTTTAATAAATGTACATTCTCCTGCAATTCTTGCTGGAAAAACTCCAAACCCTTATGAAAATACCTGTTAAGTGCTTCCAGAATAAAGACCTATTTTATTCTTAGTTGCCTGCCCAGAGCTAAAGACATAATTAGGGCACAGTAAATACTTATAGAATAAATCTCAGCTTGCAGCACAGGGTTAAGTATGTCTCAATAAAATAGCTGTTACTCTTAATGAGACTTGTTTCATTTAGTTACTTTTAGAAACAATACTGCTAGTAAAATGTCCTTGTGTATTTATGAATCTAGAATATTATAGCTAGAATGGAATTTGAATACGTGGCTCAGAGACATTCACAATCTTGGGGTGTAATCACCTCACCATTACCCACAAACTTATTTAGCATTTGTTGAGCCCTTATAAGCACAGGACAAACAAATCACTCTGTGCAACACAGAAATGACTATTACAAATCTTTCTAGTCCTCAGAAGTTTAAAATCTAGAAGAGCCTGTCTCATACATATTGATTCAAGTAGGAGGCAGGCTCTGATAAATGGTGAAACAAGAGTAAGAAGTTTAATTAGATGGATAATGCATCACCCAAAAGTCATTGGAACATACGCAGGAAGGAAACATTAATTCTGATTGGGGACATCTAGAATCAGAGGAAGCTGGACTTGAAATTAGTCTTCAAAGATAGAATTTTTTATGAGCGAGCCAGAAGAGAAAGATAGTCTAGGTAGAAGGAGGAACTTGTAAAACATAGGATGTCTAGATATTTGTGAGTTAGTGGAATAAGGGGAGTGTGAGGTAGGAAAGTTATAGTAGGAGGTTGTGATGGTGGAGAGAGCCGGCAGTATTTGTTGGGACCACACTGTTGGGGCTGTGAGCCAGGGAGAAACGTCTGAACTCTATTTTGATGCATCTGGGGGTACCCAAGTGTGTTTTAGGGGAGTAACTCTGATAGAACACTTGTAGGCTATTGGATTGGAGAAAAGGGAGACAGAAGATGACGAGTCAGTAAAGAGTGGAGGCTGTTGCCGTAGTTTAGGAAAGACAAACAAGAAGTCTGAATCGGGTTAATGAGAATGAAAAGAGGCATGTAGTGAACATTTAAGAAATCAAATCTTAACAATTTAGTGTATGATAGATATGAGGACCAGGTAAAGAAGAAACAGTCCATGAGAGGTCTAAGAGTTCCCTGCAGACCCACCATATTGTCTCTTTACTGGGCTCTATAACCACCTACTTGCATAGATTTCTGCCCTTCTTTATTTTAAAGATGTGGGGTACAATTCAGGATTAGGTATACAAGTGATCATCATCAGATAATGTTTGGGCCTCCCTTTGATTCTCACTTCGCCTGGTTTACGATCAGGTACCCTTACTGATGTTATGTGCCTTCTCCTTCCCTGGTAGTTTCCGGCTACTGCTAATCCCTCCCTTATAGTATTATGGTAATGTTCAGAGTCCGCTTATGAGTCAGAATATGTGGTACTCAGTTCTTTGTTTCTGTGATAAATCACTGAACGTTAATAGGGTCTAAATCCCTCAAAGTTGCTGTGGAGTTCATAATTTTTTTCTTCTTTATGGCTGTATAATTTTCCATCACGCATATGAACACAATTTTTTAATCCAGTCCAGTTTTAATGGGCAGCATGGATGGTTCCATGTTTTTGCTATTGTAAATAGTGCTGTAATAAACATGCATATGCACTTATCTTTTTGGTAGAGTGATTTATGTTCCTCTTGGTATATTCCCAGAAGTGGGATTGCTGAGTCACATGGAAGGTCAATTTCTAGCTCTTTTAGGACTAACCACACTGTTGGCCATAGAGGTTGAACAAATTTGCATTCCCACCAGCAGTGTAGAAGCATTCCCTTTTCTCCACATCCTTGCCAGGATCTGTTGTTTTTTATTTTACTAATGATGGTCAGCTTGACTGGAGTTATGTTGTATCTCAATGTGGTTTTGATTTGCATTTCTCTGATGATTAGTGAGGTTGAGCATTTTTTCATGTGTCTGTTGGCTGCTCATATGTCTTCTTTTGAGAAGTTTCTATTCATGTCTTTTGCCCACTTTTTAGTTTTATTTTTGAGTTGGAGTCTCACTGTCACCCAGGCTGGAGGGCAGTGGCATGCCTCTCGGCCATCGCAGCCGCAACCTGCTGGACACTGGCAATCCTTCTGCCTCAGCCTTCCAAGTAGTCAGAACTACAGGCGCACTACCATGCTCAGCTAAGTTTTGATTTATTGTAGAGATGAGGTCTCGCCAAGTTGCCCAGGCTGGTCTTGAACCCGTGGGTTCTGACAATCCACTCGCTTTGGCCTCCCAAAGTGCTGGGATTATAGGCTGAGACACCGAGCACAGCCTTTTGCCCACTTTTTAATGGGGCTGGGGTTTTTTTTGTTTTTTTTTTTCCTTCTGGCATGTTTGAGTTCCTTGTAGATTCTGGATGTTAGGTCTTTGTCAGATATGCAGTTGGCAAATGTTTTTTTTCCCATTCTGTGGGTTGATTCCTCACTCTCTTGAAGGTTTCTTTTGCTTTGCAGAAGCTTTTCAGTCAAACCACTGTTCATACTAAAGTTGGATTAATCTTTTAAAAATGTAAATCCAAACACTATGCCTACTGCCTAATTAGACTTCTTATGGACTTCCCGCTGTCCTGAGGATGATGGCCTCCCTGCCTTCCCAATGTGGTTGACAAGTGTTTACCAGTTTGGCCTGCCTTTGTAGCTTCACTGGATCCAGATGCCTTCTTTGGATTTTACACTATAGCCACACATGTCACCTTTTCCTCCTTTCCTGCTATTCTTTCTGAGCTTTGACATTTCACATGTATTTCTCAACCCCAATCACTACACTGGTCTTTGAGCTGTCTCCCAATTAACCTTCAAAGCTCCGATTGAAATGTCACTTCTTCTGGTAGGCTTCTCTACGCCCCCAAAGTGAGTTAGATCCCCTTATTATCGATTCTCACAGTGACCTGTTCTTCCCCTTTCATCCTGCTCATCACTCTTGAAATCACTGAGTGACAGTGAGACTCCAACTCAAAAAATTGTAGTGTGTGAAGGCAAGAATCTGCTCCATTGGCCCGGGATTGTATTCCCGGTGCCTAACATTCTGCAAAGCAAGTGGACAAAGAATGTCTGCTGAGTTTCATTAAGATCTGAACTGGGAAGATGAGGAGTGGAGTCCATTAAAACTGACAAGAAACACGGGAAATCATATAAACTGGGGACTAGGAGAGATTATTAAAGGAGAAAAGATGAACAGAAAACTGGCCCAAAGTTGAATGTGGGGGAAATGCCTGCATTTTTCTGTTTGGCAGAGTGGGACACAGATGAGAAGATTCAAAAGGGACCATTAGAGAGAGAAGTAGGAAGATATGAAAGCCCAGAAAAAAGCAGTATTCAGGAAGCCAAGAGGAGTGAGGGTTAAAAGATGGGAAGAGGGAGCTATTTTATCTACTTCAAAACCTTTGAAGGCAATTGATAGAAGTTGAAGTTGGGGATGTATTTTTAATTCCATCCACATTTAAAGTCCAATTATCTACGTAGATAGAAGCTAGAGATAGCATGAATAAGTGACCCTAGATAATCAGCAGTTTCTGCCTCCCCCAACATCCAACAAATGTATTTTAAAAACAATCCGATAAACAAAAAAAAATCTCCCTAACAAACAAAGCCAAAGCGTAACAACTGCCAACAAACAAAAGAAATGACTAGTTTTAATCTTACTTAAAGTTCAAAGATATCAAAGACACACTGAGATAGACAAGAAGATATTCAAGAAGTTCCATTAGCTGGGCTCGGTGGCTCAGCCTGTAATCCCATGCCTTTGGGAGGCTGAGGTGAGTGGATTGCCTGAGCCCGTGGGTTCGAGACCTATCTGGGCAGCGAGACCTCATCTCTACAATAAATCAAAAAATCAGCCAGGGGTGGTAGCGCGCGCCTGTAGTTCCAGCTACTTGGAAGGCTGAGGCGGAAGGATCGCCGGAGCCCAGCAGGTCGAGGCTGCGGTGGCCGGAAGCAGGCCACTGCACTCCAGTCTGGGTGACCGAGTGAGACTCCAACTCAAAAAAAAAAAAATAAGAAGTTCCATTAAACTAAATATGAAATGAAGGATGTAGAATAATGGTACAATTATAGATGACTCCGTGCCATCTCTTTCTTCATATCGTCCCCTGGGGCTTCTGCTAGG